TTCAATTTCAGTAATAATTTTTCACAGGATGGATTTTTTTCTTACCTTTAATCCCCCCCATCAGCCTTTGGTGTGTGTGTTGTTTTGTTTTGGGTTTTTTGGGGGGTTTTTTTGTTGTGTTTTTTTTTTTTCTTTTTGCTATTTGTTACCCTAATCCTGGCTCAGCAAACAGTCAATTGACAGACTGTACTTCAGTTTAAGATTATATACTGTAATTAATCTAATGCTAAGTACAAAAGTAGAGTCTAAAAGGTCTAAAAGCAGTAGTGGTGGTAGGGTTTTTTCGTTGTTTGAAGATGGTATGTAGGGACTTTTTGGAAAGCTTAGCCATTTCCAGTGTTGGCTTACCTGTTGGGGCATTTGCAGTGGCAGTCTCATGTCGCTGTTAATTTACATGCGAAATGGACTGATGATGGTTGCCTGGTGTTGGGATTGCTCCTGAGCTATGTGTAATTTTTGAGTAGTTAATACTCTGCTGAGACTGAGATAGTATAGGCTGCTTATATGATTGACTATGCTGAAATCATTTGTTAATACAAATGTGGTGATAGATGCAGCTCTTAGTTTCAGTGTCATAAACGTAACTCAGTACCTTGTGGAAAATACTGACAGTCACTGGATAGGAACCTTCTTCCATTCTGTCATGCATGGATTTATCACAGCACTTGTAAAATACACAGTCTTTAAATATGCTGAAAATACGAGCCTGTCACTGAAGTTCTGGTCGGAATTATTCTCAGAAGTGCTGTATCCCATGGTAAAGCACGAGGTGTAGTCCAAAATGCTTGTAGGTGATTTGTCACACTTGTTTGGTTCAGTACTGACAGTCCTCTCTGTCCGTAAGTACATAGCCTTCTATGAAGCACAGTATAAACCAGCAAGCAAACACTAATTTACCAGGTCACAGCAGCCCATAATATTTGAGTTAAACTGCACTGTAAGGTCAATAGTCATACAGCGTGATCAGAACATAGGGATAATATGTTCCTCGAGCAGTTTCTGTGAGAATCCCTGTAGGTTTTTTCTTTTGATCTTTGTAGTTTGATGTGTTTATACAAGTCTTTTCAGCTTCCTTGTAGTTTATTGAAACTGTTGGCAGGGACAGAGTGAGCTACCTTGGAATTTGCACATCTGTACCTTCAGTTTGGAAGGGTGAGTATTGTCTCTGCTTGAGATAACCTGTTTCTGGTCAGCTTAGATCTTATTTTAAAATATGACGTTTAAAAATTGCCACTAAATCTTAAGAGTGCTCATCATCAGAAATTCGTCAATTCCTGAAAGGAATTGTGTGTTGTGCTTGCCAATGAGAGCAGGGACCGTCTCTGGAGAGCCACAAGGTTTTTCTTAGTGATGTGTTCGTAGGCTCTGTGCCATAACCTAAGTATTCCTATAATAAAATCTGTTTAAATCTGTGCTTCTCCAATGGCTTTAGTGAGGAATGGAACCACATTCTCGTTTAAAAAGGCTATGCAAACCCTAAATAATTGAAATAATATTGTACAGTTAATAATTTACTGATGTTTGTCAACTGTTGATAGATCTTCCTGCATCCTAGATGCTCCTAGAGGGAGTGTCAAAGCAAAAGCAACATCTGTGTGTGTTACTTCTGCCATGGCTGCAGCTCAAGAAGATTATCATAGAATTGCTGGACACTGCATGGCTGCTTATCTGGAAGCCATTAACTTCATGCAGTCGTGTGCATCCCATTCTCCTAGTCATCTGTCAAGGATCCTTAAGAATGGAAAAAGAAAAGTAACTGAAGCCTCACTCTTGAAATAATAGCATTAAAAAAAAAAGAGTAGAGACCAACAACATTACCTATAACTTAGTTAGAAATCTTCTTAGAAGACAATTTCCTTGAACTTTTGATGGCTGTAGATTATCATGCTGCCAGAACTGCAGATATGTTGGGTATTGATTACCAAGCTTGCAGCAGGTACCTGGTGAATTGAACTCAGCAGATATAACTAAAAAAGCAATGGACGTGCTAATCTAAGATAGAAAGCCATTGTAAAGAGACTTTGTAATCTTGTTAATAACACGTGTCAATGTTTGAGCCTTAGGTATTACTCCTAGATATGGATATGAGAACCTAGGATCTCATCTACTTTTAACTGTTTTACATTTTCATTATTTAGTGAAATTCAGTATCAACACTGTGCATACTTATTCAGTGGTCTCAGTGATTAAACTGAAATGCTGAAGTCTGATAAACACAGATGTTTATGAGACTAATGCTCCTAGAAGTTGCCTATATTATAGGTAATTATATATGGTGATAAGATATCAATGAGATAAGAGCTTGGGTTATTCTATAGAAAACATTTCTAACTCCATTTTAGTGATACAGGAACTAGGAAATCTCAAGATTGGAGGTTTCTTGGAAAACAATTATTGGAAAAGTTAAGTTTGTGGTTATTTGACATGCCAGGCTTCAGTCTAGACTGTGTTTTCAATTTTTAACATTGAATTTTTGAATAAAAACAATTTGTAAACCAGGAAATGCATACCAAATACAGTTCAAAATATGCTGTGTTGTGATTGAGTAGTGAAAAAAAATCTTCAAAAATTCTGGCCATTTCTTTTAGATATTAAGAGTGTTCTATTAAAGTTGTAATCTTGGATTGTATATTTTTCTTCTGTGGGATTCCAGCAGCAAGTGTTAAAACTTTGAATTGGAGGGAAGTAGGTGATGGCAAACACCACCTCAGTCGTGGACTTCATAGTGGTCTGTAGCGGGCTCTGTTTTCCTTGCAGCTGGATTTGTTAATACTAGCTTAGAGCTAAGGATGACCTTCGGCTACGATAAAGGTTTATTTCGGGTAAGTATTGTCAGTGATAACCACTATATTGGTGAGTTGTATTTCTAGTGAAGACTGAGTAAGTAGCTCCTGCATAAGGGGGAAAAAAAACATAATGTCATCACTCACTTTTGATAGCATTTTGCATCCTCTTTATGTAGATGACAACAACTGTAGCATCACTATCATAGATGTTGTTGGGAGAAGCCACTGAGCAGGTTTGTCTCATGGTAGCAAAGTGAAGACTACTGACTATTTTGATGAAGGAAAGATAATGTTTTTCTTACTGGCTTTTCCTTAGTCCCGGGAAGTTGGATTGTCTCCTTGGCCAGCATATAGTTAGTAAGGACTTAAGCTTTTCCTTGTGCAGATGGTTCTGTTACTTTTTTTTTTTTTTTAATTAAAATAATTTTGGTGTTGCAAACTGGAAAGTACAGGTAAATGTTTCAAGACCACTTCTAGTTTAGGAGTTGTGGTTGGTGTGTTTGCAAGGCAAATATTGATACCTCATGTCCTACATGTCTACATCTTATATATGAAAAGAAACGTTCCGATTTGGTATAATAATGTAACCTCATCTTCTCCGTTCTCTCTATGTAGCATTAATGGGTAGGAAGGAAATGTATATAAACATAGTGACTGTGGTTGATTTAGAAGCTTATTCAAATACACTTTGTGTATTCAATGTGTTGCTCCTATCCAGAATTGTTTACGCATTCTTAAAAATCTAGATGACATTATTTAGGTGAAGTGAGGAGATGGTTAGACCTCTGTGTTGATAAGTGACTCCTGGGTTTGATTTTTAATTGGACTAAGTCAGGCAACTTACTACTTTCTCATCTGTACCCAGTGGTAAAAATATTTTTTCTACGTTTCCATGATAGCTTAATGTTAAGCTTAATGTTTGAACTGTTGCTTGACCCAAGCTGGGCAGTATTGTTACCTGGTGTTTTTAAATGAGGAGAAACAGGCAAATAGCTTAGGCAAAGCTTGCATAGTCATGGAGGGCGGAAATCAAGGTTGTGACAGTGGCACTAACACAGTAGATTTGTACACGTCGCCTGGGTGGTGGTTTTCCCTACTATCAGACTTTTGAAAACGATGTGATGGCACTTCTTGTTTTCATGTCCATTTTGTTGAAAAAAACGCGGAATGGATGAAAATGTAAGCTACTTGTGCAAAGGAAGAAATTTTAAAAGTATGTTAGCCTTTGTAATGTGCGAAATGAGGCAACAGAAAGTGTGCCATGCTGTTGGGGGTAACCTTGCAGTCACAGGGTTTGGAAAGTGTGAAACTAACCTACTGCAACTTTAATGCTATGAGCACTTTTTCTTCCCAAGTTCAAATAATAAAATCTTGCAAGCTGTTGATGTACCAGTGTTTAAGGTGGCTTCTGTAACCATCCAGCTGCACGTGTCAATACACTTTTTCAGATAGCTGAGACTACAAACCCATTCATGTTTCAGAGTGCACAAAAGCCTCATTTTCGAATGACTGCTGAGTTTCTGATTTCGCTCTTGACTGTACTAGCATTCCAGAAGGAGAAAATTGGTTAGTTTTATTTTAAGAGCTCCATAGCTATGCCTAATGTTTACTCTGCCATTACTTTAAAAAAAAAGGGGGGGGGAGGAGCAGCAGAATTTGGGGGTTTTGGGTTTTTTTTGGGGGGTTTTGGGGTTTTTTTGTTTTGGGATTTTGCTTTGGTCGTTTGAAACTGAAAAAGCAACTCCACTTTTACAGTGCTACCAGTCATGAAAATACTGTTTGTGCAACGGGAGTTCAGCAGCCTTAAATACAAGTGAGTGCTTTCTAAGTCTACAAATCTGATAATTCTGCGCACATCCTTCCAGCAGCAACAGTGCAGGCTCTTTCCAAGTTCCTGAAGGCTGGAAACGGGAAGTGCAAAACTCTGGAGAGCAATCAGGTGTAGTTTTTCAGGAGTGGTTACTTTAGCTTTACACATGCAGGCACAAATGCATGTATAGGGGCATATAGGGGAAAATTACATGGTCAGTGGACTTGGATAGGTTAGAAGATTGTAAGCAATTTCACTTTGTCTTCCTTTGAAAAGTAAAGTGTGGAACCGTTTGCATGACCCATATTGATCTCCTCCTGTATTGAACAGGCCACAGACATTTCAGAATGTAGTCTTGGTAAGACAAACCACAGATTAGATTTTTTTCCTGAAAATTCCAAGTGATGGTGAATCTGGTGCCACCCTTGGTAACTGGGGATTTGAATTTATTATTGCATTGTGTGTTTTAGAAATAGTAGTTTAGAAATTGTGCTTTACTGTTCCATGCCTGGTTTTTAGTCTACTCAGACCCTTGTAACTTTGCTTGCCAGCTAGAGGAGTCTTTTTTTTTTTTTTTTTTTTTTTTTTTTTCCCCCCCCCCCTTTTTTTAAGTAATTCGACTGCAAACAAATCTCCCAGCAGCTTTCTTTTTTGTCAGCTAAAGTGAGCTCCTTGTGTCCTTACTGTCTGGCATATTATCTGATCCTGTAATAATTTCTGTGGTACCTTTATGAACTTTCTCTGATTTACCTCCTCTTGCTGTTCTGTTCTGCAGGGACCTATCTTAGAAACACAGATGGTGGAAGATGAAACTGAGGCAACAAGACAAGAACTGCCTCCTCATCTGCGGGAAGAGCCTCCCGAAGGTACAGTAGTAGCAGTCAATATAAACTCTTTGCATTAAATCTGAGAAAATATTCTGGCCAAGGAAGTCATATTTATGTATCTATCTGTCTATCTGACTTGAGAGCCTACGTCTACCTATTTTCTGAGAGGGATAACGCTTTGTCAATGCTGACAGCTGAGCCAACCTCTCAGCCCGAGGTCTAGCCAGCCCCTAAGCCTACTTTGGCAGTCCAAGAAAGCTGCACCTGCTGAGGTGTGATCATTGCTCTGCATTCTCTTTAACAATATGGTTTCTGATTAAAATTGTCCTGCTTGATCATCCTGTCTCTAGGCTTAGGAATAAAATGCCTATTCCACTGTCTTGTTTGTGATGTTTTGAGCCTTCATTAGGGAAGACTTCCTAAGTAGTCATGTATTCTCTTCTTGCCTCTCTCTGCAGCATCCTGCTATTGAAATTGTCCCCAGCAGAGACTTGTCAAAGTTAGGTATTCTAGTGATTTTGTTTCTTTCCACCATCTCTCTTGGAAGCCAGTTTAGCCATCTGAGGAGGTGGCAGTGAGATGCTGTCAGTCAGTAGGAGGCTCAAAAATGACAATTTTAATTAAAATCCTTGTTTGCAATGACATGCCCTGGATTTACACAGGGAACGGATTTTTCCAACTGTGTAAATGTTGCAGATGTATATATGCAACAAAATAGGTGCTGCTTTTTTTTGAATAGAAGCTGCTACCATTGCTGCCAGTGATGATATGTTTTGAGCTTTGTCTCCAGTTCAGTGACTTTTAAAACACAGTCACTCGTAATCATTGTGGACGGCTTAAATAACCCAGAGAGTGCTGAGATTCTTATTAGCAACCGACTGTTAAAATGCAATGACGTGTCTCTGGGAAACATAAATGTGTTTTCTGTTTTTCCTTTAAGAGAATAAGATGCTGATAGAGCATCTATACTGACAACCATTCTTAAAGGGATTATGAACCAAGTAGATGGTTTTAAGAATTTGCTGTTCCATCCCTTCTTGTTAAGCATTCTGTTATAGTTTTTTCATTAAGTTATAATTTCTTGTTCTGCCATTTTGTGTACTCTGTGTTGATAATTACAGTATAGAGAGGCAAGTGAAAGGCAGCTTTCTTTTTGCAACTCCTATAAAGCCAGAAGAAAATAAATGTGGAAGATGTTGTGCTTACTATATATATACACACAGAGGATATAATCTTGATTTCCCCCCCCACACACTTCTTTGCAAGTAATGCCAAGTCGGCATGTAATGACAATGCATTGTTGAAGTAAGAATTGTGGTCACTAGCCTGAGCTGATGATTACATGAGCCTAAAGACTGTATCCTGGAGGTCATCTTGTCTCTGCAGTTTATCAGGAATAGTCTTAAATTTTGGACTATGGCTTTGAACTGTCTAATCAGAAGGGTTTTTTTAAGGTGGCTAAGTATTTTTGCAAACCAAGTTTTTGTAATTGAAAGTGTTTGCTTCTGCCTGCAACCCTGCTGGTGTGAACGATGATGAGAAATGCCAGTATTAATATTCCACTTCTGAGTCTTGTTGGGTGGTCTAGAAGAAATATGTGCGCTGGATATGCCCGCTTTGCTGGTGTGAGGAAAAAGAACTGTAACAGCTGCACTGGTGTAGGTAAGCAGTGGTGCAGTAGATACTGTGAGTGCTTTTAAAGTCTGAGCTCAGTATGTACTTTTAAAGTTTATAATGACGTTGAGAGTAGCAAAATCGGAGGGTTGTTGAGAGCGCAACTGAAACTAGAGACTGCTTGGGAGAAGAGGTGGAAAAATTGCTGCTGAAAGAGAGCCATTGGGATTGTGCTGAACTTGCAGCTGGCTCTGTGTATTAGTGGAGCTGAGTAGCAAGGGTCTTCCTTAGAAGCTGCCGTCTATCAACGCAGACCAACCAGAATTACTGTAAAGGTTGTGTGGTTGCAGGAGTGATTACAAATATGCCACGAAAGAAATAGATCTCTGACGTTCTTTTGCTATTAAATGCCATGAAGTACCATCTTCTTGTTGTTGCCCGTCGACTAATTTCTGGTTTCTTCTGATAGCACTTTCCTAGTTAAATCAAATGCTTTGCAATAAATAAATAAACCATGTTGTGATGACTGCTGCACTCTTATTTCCTGGGATCTATGAATTGGAGACTGCCTGCCTGCCTTCTGGTAATGAGCGCAGAGGGGATGGGAAAGCTCTCCAGAGCCGGTGTCTTTCTAGCACAAGCCATGATTTCACCAGGTTGCATCATAGTGACTTCATTTTCCAGCTTGCACTGCGTATTTACCTTCAGGAGGGGAGCTGGAAGTGATGCGCTGTATAAATATTGCAGTAAAATAAAAGGTTGCCCTTCAGGGATTGTCGTGTTTCTGAACAGTGTTGCAGTATGGGCTGCTACAAAGAAGGAGACAGTTTTACGAGTCCGTCAGGTAGATGAGTCGGCGGAGTCAGTGTGTGTGTGGGTAGCAGGCGGCGGAGGGTAGCGAGCACCGGCCGCGGGTGCGGCTTGGCAGCCTGCCGGTGTTTGGGGCGTGGGAAGTTCTGTGGTGTGAGGAGGAGATCAACCAGATCCCGAGGGGTCGCCGAGGCGGGGGCTGGTGTCTGTCTGTAAGCTGAAGCCATTGATCTGCTGTCAAAGGTAACTTTTTTATGTTTAAATAAGTCAACAGAGCAAATGAGTGAAAAGTGCCGCTGCTGTAAGGCCCCGTAAGTGGTATCAGATAGCAAACAGGGGGTTTTATTTGATAATGAAGACGCGTTATTGTCGGTCCGGCGGGCCGAGGCCGTAGCCCTGCGTGGGAGGGGCGGGG